TTGAAGGTGGAAAAGCGCTATAGAAAAATGTGACCATTTACCATTTAAGTAAAGTATCAGAATGTAGGAAAGAGTTACACTCCAACAGGGTCAAGTTAAACCTGTGATATTCTTTCAAGTTGTTGACAAAAAATTTAAAAACTCATGTCAGAATGAAATATGCAACACTTTTTGGGCAATAAATACAGTGATAACTCTTGGTTCTCACTTACATATCCTTAACAAACTGGTTTGAATATTTGATTCATATAGTTTTCTACCATTTGATACAAGATTAGGTTGAAAAACCTCTTACTTTTTGAGTAATGAGATTTTTTATTAAGAAAGGTCATGGTAACGGAGGGAAAAGTAACGGAGGGAAAATTGTGCAAACAAGTAGAAGGTGCATGATTTTGCATAATTTGTCAACTTTTTTCTTTCGAATGCTTTAATATTACTTCAAAATGAAAGGAAACTATTTCTATAAAATATGTCAGTCCTTCCAAGCAAATTTTTATCATTTTAAATACTTTTTTTTTTTTTAAATCATGTACCTTCATCAACAGTTCAAAGATGGAATAACACAAGATATGATGAAATACATCCATTTATTTACATGATTTGCAGGTCTTTGAAATTTGGGAAATAATTTTTGTTCCATGTTTCATACATGGTCTGTTTAAAACGTATGGAACTTTAGAACCAAAAATGGTACAGAAAAAAAGGTAAACAGTTTCATAAACTAGAGTACATATGTATCTGTTGAATACATTTTTATATCAGATGCATTAACTTGAGTTTTTGGCCTTGCTGTTTACTTCTGCTTGACCGGGCCCATATGAGTATCTAAGAGTTGTAGAAATGTACTTTTTTTGTTTTTAAATGTTTTGACAAGATCTTAGTGTGAATCATTACGGTTAGAATAAAAATAATTCAGATTTAAAAGTGCTTCTCAAGTCTTCTCAAGTCACAGGCCTCAAGTCCGAGTCAAGTCCCAAGTCAATGACCTTCAAGTCCAAGTCGAGTCCCAAATCTTAGTCCATTTTATCAAGTCAAGTCTCAAGTCTTAAAAACAGTGACTCAAGTCTGATTCGAATCCCAGCCACGACTTGCAAGACCCCACCTCTGCCAGTAACAAGTGCCCCATGCCAAGTCCACCACAGTATAGCCAATGACGGTGCTCCTTTGTTTTTTCTGCACTCTCATTCCACAATTTAACAAGGCTGGGTACTGGCACAATCGCAGCAGCAGTCAGCTTGCTTGCGCCTTTGACAAAAAATATTGTAGATTCGAGTCGGGCTTTCACAGTGTATTCAAAGAGCGTTGGTGTGGAGAGTGGCGCTCGGATCACTGAACAAACCACATTTTCCTTTTAGCAGCAACAGAAGTGACACTGGACACTGGAGAGGACTACAGCTCCCAGCATGCACACACACAACAGCACCCAGACCTGCTCAAAGGGATTTTCAACGGTCAGACATACCAATAAGTCTGGACAGCTCTCAAACAGAAAGAAGAAGACTCTGTTCTACCTTGTGTGTCATGTGGAGATACAGGAAGTGCTCCAAAGTGTTTTAAACTCTAGACTAGAATCATTTAGATAATTTTAGCTCTGGAGTTGATCGTCTCTACTGAACTGAAGGTAAAAGGAGCTAATCCTCTAGTGCAGGGGTGTCAAACTCATTTTGGTCCGGGGGCCGTATCCAACCTACTTTGATCTCAAAGGGGCCGGATCAGAAAACTCATGTCATATAAACCCCAAAAATAACAATAACTTTAAATATTTGTGCAGAGAAACACAAATCTATTCCAGAAATCTTTTTTAATTGATGAACTCTTTCTTTTACAAAATATTATAATATTATGAACAACCTGAAACTTTAAGAAAAATATAATGCAAACAGGAATAAGTCAATTTTTCTTGGAAAATCCTGCACTCAGCTCCACTTTTCTCATGTTGGACATTTTTCTGATGAGGGTGTCACGGTCAACAGTCAAAACGATCGTCCTTTAAGAGCGTTTGGAAAGAGACAAGTCTTCATTTGTGCTGCTCTGGTGGGAGGGGCCACGTACAGAGACACTGGAGACGCTGCTATGATAAACACCACAGAAAATTAACAATATTTTAATAGAAAATATAATTACAATATTTTAGTAGAAAGTCAGCTGAGGGCCAGATTAAAGGTCTTGGAGGGCCGGATCTGGCCCCCGGGCCTTATGTTTGACACCTGTGCTCTAGTGATTTACGGCATGATAGCTAAAAAAAAAAGTATTTTGAAACTGTGGAAATTAGATCCTCTACCACAATTTGAAGCCTGGCTCAGAGAAATGATGAGAGCGCTGCAGCTTGAAAGATTGAGGTATGAGGCGTCAGGTAACCCCTCAAAATTTTCAGAAGGTATGGAGACCCATTCTGGAGCATCTGAATGTGTAGTAGACCCCTGAAGAAGACGGTGGAAATGTTGTTATACGATGTAGTTGTAGACATTTGTACTCTGTGCTTTTTTGTATGTGTGTGTCCCATTGTGTGTTTGTTTGTTTGTTTGTTCTTCCACCATCACCAGTATCTCATTTTCTGGTCAAACGATTCCCTTCTCTGCATCTGTCACCAACCTGGGTGTCAAAATGGACTCACAACTCACCTTTGACACCCACATCAAACACCTCTGTAGGACGTCATTCTACCACCTCAGAAACATTGCAAAACTCCATCCAACTCTCTCCTTGGCAGATGCCAGAGAAGCTCGTCCACGCCTTTATCTCCTCCAGGCTGGACTACTGTAAACGCACTCCTCATCGGGATACCTGGCAGGAGCATCCAGAGACTGCAATACATCCAGAACTGCGCTGCCAGGATCCTGATGAGGGGGCTAAACCATTTGACCACATCACCCCCATCCTGAAATCCCTTCACTGGCTCCCGATCTAACACTCAGGATTGAGTACAAGGTCTCCCTCCTCACTCACCAATGCATCCAGGTCACTCCCCCAGTACCTTAAGGAACTCCTCACTCCCCAGACCCCCTAACGCTCCCTTCGCTCTGCAGCCACCAACACTCTCCAAACCCCCAGAACCAAACTTTTCACCATGGGAGATCGGGCCTTTCCTCTGCTGTCAAGGCTTTGGAATGCTTCCCCGAACCTGAGAGCCCCACAATCTATTTCTGTTTTTTAAACAAAATCTTAAAACATACCTTTTTACTAAAGCCTTTTGTTTAATTGTATTTTATTCTTGTTTATCTTATAAATTCCTGCACTGGTTTTAAACTTGATCCACTGTTTCTGATGTCACCTTTTTACTCATTGTTTTTACCTGTAGCACTTTGAGATTATTTTATGTAAATGCAATATAAATAAAATGTATTATTATTATTGTGTTTTACTTTTTTTTTACTTTTTAAAATTTGTGTATCTTAGATGTAATTATATTTAATTTAATTTAATTTTATGTATATTTATATGTATTTTTGTTGTTATTATTTGGCTATTTTATTTACATTATGTGTTTATGAATGTAAATTTAAACGTATTGATTCAATTTTGTTTATTTAATTTATTTAATTTTATAGGGGTGTAACGATATCCAAGTCTCCGAGAATGAAACAGCATTCAGTATGGAATGTGTCAAACATTTTCTTTATATAATAAATAAAAGCATATTCTTCAAACATGATCAGAAATAGTTCGTCAAGGTATGAGAAAATGAACAGTGCAAGCTAACAGTTAAATAATGAATTCTTAATGCAGATCTGAATCAAATGCACTAACATGTAGTGTCATTTTTCATAGAACAATGGAAGTTCAAGCTGCACAGAACTTTGAAATCCAAGCAAAATGAAAAAAGTACGTAGAAAGCCTCTTAACATACAAGCTGCACAATTGAACTACAGTTGAAAATGCGGACAGGACAGAATATATGAATAGAATTAGGTTGGAGATTCAGTTGAAAGCTGCAGAACTCTTTCTTTGCCTGAAAATTACGTCAGACATGAATGTCCTGAAACGTTTTGAATCTTGTGTTTTCATAATAAGCAAAACTGTTTGACCAATGCGTGTCTTTTTTCGCTGGAATGAATCTATAGTTTGGCTTCGCTGCTTTTCCCCTTGTCTTCTTCTTTCAGCGACCTCAAAAACGGACTTTCTTTTTGCGGCTAACTGCTCCTGGATTCTTGTCTGCCATTGCCAACAAACTTTTGCACTGCGAGGAAGATATAGGTCAAAAAAAGCCGCTAAGAACTGTTGCATTGGTGGAGTAAACAGCGTCTGTGCGTCTTGCGTCTGTGGACTGCGTGACAGGCGTACGTAAACCACGTACCGGCGGCGCGCAGGCAGGTCAGTTACGCTAGAAACGTAGGGAGTTGATTGATAGCCTTCAGCTACAGATAACGAGCCGTGTCGTTATCTATTGGCAAATGTTTATGGCCCCACCACGTCCAGAGTTGATGAAATTCTCTTTTTTCATCATAATTACAAGGCTACTGCACCTCTATAATGCTATCATTGACAACTTGAAACAAAAAAAACAAAAAAAAAATCCTCCATACAATTAAGGTATGGTTAAATGTTAGATGTATGCACGTTTCATAACTTTCAAAGCCTAGAGTGGAGTTTAACAACCACTAGCATGCTAATTAGGCACTTCCTGATTCTTGGACATGACAACAGCTGCTTATATACAATATGTCTGTACTGGGGCAAGACACATGATGCTCAGTTTTATGGAAAATATCGTATACGAGCAATATTTTGTGTTACAGTGATAGATCAAAGTCATGAAAACTGTTCAAGATGTCACTCCATGTTAAGTCACTCCCCCTTCAGAGCATGTTTTTGATGAGGTAACAACATTATCAAACCACTCCCTCTTTAAAATAATGAGACCAGTTCAAATGAATATCTAGTGTCAGTATTAGTTTTAGTATCGATTCGCATCTGAGTAGAGATTCGTTCAACCAAACTCCAGACCAGACTGTACGGGTGTGAAAGAGCCATAACACAAGCGTAAACGAGACGTGACTCACCAGAAGTTGACGAGGAAAGGGTGCTCCAGGTTCTGCATGATCTGCAGCTCCTTCAGGACGTTCCTCACCTCGTTCCTCTCCACACACTTGAGCTTGTTCATGTACTTCATGGCGTACATTTTCTTTGTGTCTTTCTTCTGGACTATGCATACCTGAGAAAAGTAAGAATACAAATGAACATATTACCGGGCAAAAGTTTGAGTTTTTCATTTATTTTTCTTCTTTATTTCCAGGATTATTTACATTGCAGATTCTCACTGAAGACATCAAAACTATGACTGAACACATATGGAAGGTAGTAAACAAAAAAATAAACTCAAAATAACTCAAAACTTGTTTTAGATAAAAATAAATCAATCAATCAAAATAGCCACCCTCTGCTTTGAATCCTGCTTTGCACTTTTGGTATTTCTTGACACTGACAAGGTGCACAAGTGAAAACCATTTCAGGACACTTCATCATGAAGCTCACTGAGAGAAGGCCAAGGGTTTGCTGGACTGTGGACAAAGCAAAGGGTGGATACACTGAGGATTTTAATATAAAATATCAAAAATTATTTAGATGAGTTATTTAACTTTTCTTCTATGCCACGGGTGTCAAACATATGGCCCGGGGGCCGAATCTGGCCCTCCAAGACCTTTAATCTGGCCCTCGGCTGATTTTCTACTAAAATATTTTAATTATATTTTGTATTAAAATATTGGTAATTTTCTGCGCCGCTTAGCATAGCAGCGTCTCCAGCGTCTCTGTACGTGGCCCCTCCCACCAGAGCAGCACAAATGAAGACTTGCCTCTTTCCAAACGCTCTTAAAGGACGATCGTTTTGACTGTTGACCGTGACACCCTCATCAGAAAAATGTTTTCCAAGAAAAATTGACTTATTCCTATTTGTATACAAGTTAATGTTAAAACATTGTGTTGAAATTATATTTTTTCTTAAAGTTTCAGTGTGTTCATAATATTATAATATTTTGTAAAAGAAAGAATTCATCAATTTAAAAAAAAAGATTTCTGTAATAGATTTGCGTTTTTCTGCGCAAATATTTGAACTTATTGTTATTTTTGAGTATATATGCCATGAGTTTTCCAATCCGGCCCCTTTGGGATCAAAGTAGGTTGGATACAGCCCCCGGACCAAAATGAGTCTGACACCCCTGATCTATGCTATATATTTCCATATGGAATTCTATTTCATTTGAATGTTTTGTGTCTGTATATAAAATGTAGAAAGTAGTACATGAAAAAGAAAAAAATAATAATAATGAGAGTGTACAAACTATACATATTAGAGATGTAACAATATCCAAATCTCTCTGTACGATATTATCACGATATACATCTCATGGTATATGGTGATATTTTGGAGAGATTGATGTAATTGGTGATAGGACACGTTTCTGCTTTTAAAATACCTTGACAAGATCTTGGTGTGAATTATTTCTGTAAAAGACATATTTCTTCGAGTTGTTTGCAGTGAACTGAATCATGGGATATGTAGTTCTCTATGTTTACACACTGTTGCTACTATAAAACCATGCATTTAAGCAAAGGAACTTGTAATTCGATATATTGTGACAGCCCACGATATTATTGTGAGATTTTTGACGATACGATATCACAATATGTCGGTTACTGTTTCATCCCTAATACATATTATTTTGGTATATATTTGCTATGATTTTTTACACTTATATTATTGTTTTGTGTGTGTGTGTGTGGTGTGTGTGTGTGTTAAAGGGCATATATTATGTTATAATGTTGTTTCCTCATCACAAACATACCTGGAGTTTTTTAGGTATATTTAGGCTGAGTTCTTCTCTCAATCAGACACTCTGTTCCACCTTGTGAGGTCATGTGATAATACAGGAAGTGCTCCACTGTGTTTAAGAACTCCATACACCTTCAATTGCCAATCTCTACTCGACTAAATGTAAAAGGCAGCTGTAACTTGAACACTACCTCCACATGACATCACAAGGTGGAGCAGAGCATTTTGAGCTTTGGAAATGTAGACAGACTAAAGAATAAAGACTAAAGCATTACTCAAACATGTGTGAATGAAACAAAACATAACTCGTGGCATGTTTTTGAAGAAGCAACAGCATGATCACATGACTTAAAGTTCACAAGAATCAATTTTGTATAATATTATAGAACCTTTAAAATTAAATCGAAAATTGGGTCAATATTGTGTAAAAAATATTGTTAAGCCAATCAACCAACAATAACAACTTTTATAAATGATCCTTATTCCTTGAACTTTCCAAACTCGACACCTGGAGTTCCTTTCACTTTGCATAGTTAGCAGCCCTTGATTGGCCCTTCTGATTAGCCGCATATTTAGACAGAACAGACGTATGAGATGTGCGCTTTAGCTCTTGATAGTGGCGCTCGGAGCGTGAATAAAGCGTGATTAGTGCGGTCCCAGGCTCCGATCCGTGCACAGCTGCTGGGGTTAATCAGTGCCTCTCTCTCCTCCCATACAGCAACATGTGGAGCTGAGTGATTAGGAAGCTTAAGAGAAGCACACTCCATGTGAGAGACAGGAAACATGTGACTGTGGACAGGACTAATGCACTGCTACACGGGAAATATGACTGTAAATACACTGGGGCTGTCAAAAGTATTGAAAAGCAGATATCAACCATTATTGAAACTAATATCAACAAGTGAAAGAGCTATTCATGTAATGTCATTTACTGGGTGTAAGTGTACGTTAATAAGTGTAATGTGTGTATAAAGGTATGTGTGTATGTATATATATATGTATGCATGTATATATATATATATATATATATATATATATATATACACACACACACACTACATGCATATACATACCAATACACATGAAATAAGTAAAGTTTTTTTTATACATGTATTATTTTGTTACCTATGTGTGCAAGTGGGCAGTGTGTGTGTGTGTAAACTAGGGGTGTGCAAAATTATTGAAATATTGATATATGGTATCGTTTAATGTGATGATACAGTATTGATATCATGGGCTGCAGTATCGATATATCGCCAAGATTATTTTTAGTTGTATTTTACTGAATTATTTTGTAACAGAGCTACAGTTTTGTTCTTTGTTCAGAGGAAGGAAACTCGTTTATGCGACACATTTGACATTTTCACTGTTTTGATGATTAAAATGTTCGTGTTTCATATGAACTTTGTACAAGAAGTGCTTTAACAAAGACTTTATTTAGTCTTTATTTTTATTGAAGCATATCAAATTGATTTGAAATATATTGTACTGAATCGTATCAAATCGTAAGCTCACTGTATCGATATGTATCGTATCCTGGCCTATGTATCGAGATAAGTATCGTATCATGGCCTATGTATTGAGGCACATATCGTATCGGGAACTTCTGAATGATACCCAGCCCTAGTGTTCACGCACATATGCATGTATTTTTTCGATCTTGTTCATGTGGAGCTCCGGGGGGGGTCACCATGAGTTTGGGATTGGGGATTTTATGCATTTATTTTTATTTATAAAGTATAAAGTAAATAAATTATCATTGTGGTATCGTTATTGGTATTGATTGTCGAGTCTATTCCATAGTATCGAAATCGAGTTTGAAATTTTGATATTGTGTCTAAAATATACCACAAGTGCAATTTGGACTATACTATCTTAGGTCTTTTTTTCATTTTTTTCTAACTTTATTATTAGTCTGTTTACATCTCCAAAGCTCAAAATGCTCTGTTCCACCTTGTGATGTCATGACGCAGTAGATTTCATGTCAGCAGCTACCTTTTCCCCTTTAGTTCAGTAGAGATTGGTAATTCTTTCATACGATTCTAATGAAGATGTATGGAGTTTAAAAACAGAGTGGAGCACCTTCTGTATTACCACATGACATAACAATGCAAGATTTGTGTGTAAATGAAACAAAACACAACTCCAGGTCTGTTTTTGATGAGGAAACATTATAACATGGATCAGAAAATAGCGTAATATGGATAATTTAAACTCTAATCCCTGTTTTGTGTTTTCATGTGTTTTATCTGGTCTAAACAATGCCTCTTATTTAATTCCCTACACTGTAAGAAACAAACTGTAGGCTACACATTTTCTGTAAATTACAACAGATCAAGTGACAAGCAGGAATAAAAATGCTAATGTAATGGAAGCTTGAATTAACCGTGAACACTACAGACGCCATTGTGAACTAAATCTGCATAGTTTGACAGAGAGCCATATGTTTAGTGACCTCTGGAAATGAAAAGAGATTACTGATGTGCTGTGTGTATAACATAAGCTGTATTTACAAAGGGCTCAGCGACTAGTGTTTCATCTTAACCACTATAATGCAAGCGACGATGCTATTTTTATTTGACATTAAAGGTTCTATATTATGCAAAACTGACTCATGTGAGCTTTAAAACATGTTAGAATGTTGTTCCCTCCTCGAAAACAGATCTGAAGCTGTGTTTTGTTTCGTTCACACATGTTTGAGTCACGTTTTATTATGAGTCTGTTTACATCTCCAGAGCTCAAAATGCTCTGTTCCAACTTGTGATGTCATGAAGCAGTAGTTTTCACATTAACAGCTATCTTTTACGCTTTGTATAGTAAAGATTGGCAATTCCAGGACTGAAATTATCCCAGTGATTCTAGATTCCCTTTTCATTTAGTCTGTTTTGCTACTAGATATTCAGAACAATTACAGTGGTAGAAGGAGTAAAGAGATTATGGAATAAACCTCATATTCTTGACTACTAGTAAATACATCAGACTTACTTTTCCGAAGCTTCCTTTCCCAATGGCCCGCAGGATCTGAAAGTGGTCGAAGTTGACTGAGGGAAAAAGGAAAATACAACATACAGTTAAGAGCTGATAACAGACAATCATAGAACAGGAACACAATGAAAAGAATGCATTTTTGATCTTTTAAAGAAGGCATATTGTGGTTGTGTCTGTTATATTGATATAACCTACAAATCATAATATAACTGTATTATAATATTCATCATAATGTTGTAATATTAATCTAATATGACTTGATAAAAAAGACAAAACGAAAAGTCCATGTTAGAAAACGGTGGTTCTCAGTCCTCCTATGGATAACTGCTAAGGACGGGACGAGATGCAATTTCCACAATACGAGACGAGACACGAGA